ACGTTTTTTTTACAAATAATGTTATAATTTTAAAAGAATTAATAAATGATAGTTAGTATACAAAAATACTTATTTTTAATGAGGATAGCGTCTACGAATGAAAAAAACTAGGCACCGATCTGGCACACACTATTTTACATACAAGTGCGAATATGCACCACAACAAACTTCCGTAGTTCATATCTTGTCAATCTGCAAGAGACTGAGGCTGTACATGTTCGAACCTGACACCTGAGGTTCCGGGCATATTTAACGTAGTGGGGATAAGCCGCGACAGATATCTCTGTGCAAATGCCAGCAATTCGAAAATTTTCGCGGTGCGAATTCGCACTCATGTACGGTTTGAAGGTTAATAGTAACTTTATGATGTGGACATGTTGGACAATCGATTTATCAAGTATTTTACGACGCGTTATTGTTAAAACAAACATGGAAATAAAAGTAAATACAATTAAAGTAACATATTATTTAATATAATATAGTATATTTACATTTATAATTTATTAAAATATTATATAAAATAGGTATTTATTGGAGAAAAAGAAGTTTCTTTTGACATTAAAATGATTCAAAACATACGAGAAATTGATCACATTTTAAAGAAATTAGAAATTATGTTTCCTTGTGAAACAGTTAATAACGAAAACAGGTTTGTGTATTAAATTATGTTTATATTTTATAGAAATAACAATAACATTTAATTTTGAGTTTGTTGTATTTACACATATTTATATTAATTTTGTACAAAAATAATTTTTTTACTTAATTATAGTGTATTATATATACAAAAAACAAAATGTATTAATTTCTGTTACAGAGTCACAAATTGTCAGGGTTTTGTCATTAAAGAAAAGTCTAAAATAGGACAGAGAATGAGATGTTTGGCGTGCACAAAAAATTGGAAGATATTATTAAGAAAATCACAAAATTTGACACCAATTGAAAAATTAAGAAAGAAAAACAAAAAATTGAACAAGTCAAATTTATATTGTAAATACCGAGAAAAGAGACTTCGAAATAAAGTAATTATTTGTCTTTCACATATAAATTACAATTTTCACACATTTGAATTTATTTTTTAATTTTAAATAATGTTACATAGATTAAACGATTATATAATGAAATTGCATATCTGAAAGATAAGTGTTCTCAATGTAATGAAAAAATAATTAATGAAGCAATTTCAAAATTATCTGAAAAACAACAATTAGCAGTTAAAGCTTGTTTTGCGGCAGCAAAATTAAAAAATATAAAAGACATGAGATATTCAAACGAATGGATATACGAATGTATTTTACTTTGAATTAAAAGTACAAAAACGTATAATCATTTGAGATCTCACAATATTTTAACATTACCTTCCATTAAAACATTAAATCGTTATATCAATAATATCAAAGGTTGTTACGGCTTTCAAATGAGCATATTTGATATGTTGAAAAAGAAAACGGCAAACATGGAACCTAACGATGTGCGAGGTACATATACATTTTATTAACAAATTACAATTAATTCTTTCAACATAAAAAATTTGATTATGTAATATTGCTTTCTGGATCGGATAATTATATAACAAATTTTTAAATATTATTTCAGTAAATGTTATTTAAATCGTCAAAATTGATTTATGTAGGTGTTTTATTGCTGGATGAAATGAAATTATCTAAAACTTTATATTTTAACCGCAAGAATTTAAAAGTTGAAGGCTTTGTTGATTTAGGTCAATACACTTCAGAAGAACAAAAGAAAAAAAAGGAGACCATGCATTAGTTCTCATGTTTCAACCCTTTAAAGGAAAATGGGTTCAATGTTTGGCTTGCTTTTTGAGTATTGGAAACACAAGTGCCTTCATTTTGCATAAAATTATTATGGAATGCATTATTCTAACAGAACAATCCGGACTTAAGATAGATGCTATAGTATCAGATGGAACATCATGGAATCGAGCTATGTGGAAGTTATTTGATGTAACGGAAGAATGTGTTAGCATACAGCATATTGTTGACACAGAAAGACGCTTGTGGTTTATTTCTGATTTTCCACATTTGATAAAATGTCTCCGAAATTATTTTTCTCAATTTGATCGATATGCAGGAATTTGGGTAAGTTTATAAATTTATATAAAAAAAAACAAATATTAAAACATCTAAATTGATAGTACATACACTTTTTCAATTATTCGATCAATCTTTGTTGTACAGACTCCGGATGGTGTAGTTTCGTTAAAACATTGGTATGCGATAATTTCCATTGAAAATCCTCACGGATTTAATTTAAAATCTAGTTATCATTTGGATGAATATCACATCAAACCAAAATATTATCAAAAATGAATGTTGCAATGGCATTTCGAGTATGTAGATAAAGACTTATTTTCTAATTCCTCTTTAATAGACAAAAGTTTCCTAAATATAGCTTCTTAGCCAATTAGATGGCTTGTTAGCCTCTTTTAGAAAGACATTTATTCAAAAAAATAAGACTGAAGTATTCATTTCTTATTACGTGTAATTTGGTTAATGAAAACATTAATTATTAGTCACATATTTCTAACAAAGTAATATATATATATATATATATATATATATATATGTATATATTACTTTATTAGAAATGTGTGACTATAATAATATATTAATGTTTTCATTATATATATATATATATATATAT